TAGAACACTTTTTTCTATCTCTCATAGTTCGACGATATTTACGTCGGAAGAAAAAAACCGATTTTTTTCAAAGGGTGATTTCATCCCTTCAAAACGGAATAGAGCACCAACAAAAAATAATTTCGTACTACGGATGAATTGCTCTACTTTTATACAAAGTTTCAGATTTTTCTGAATTTTCGGGTACCCTAACTTCCCTTGTAAGGCACAATATTCAACAGCCGTGTAATCTTTTATTCGCTAAGCTTCTTTGGCGTGTAGAAATTCCGCATTGTTTCGTTCTGAATAGCTTTGAGAAGAAATAAAACAAAATTTTTTTTCTTTAAATAGATCTTCTTTTAGAAAACGATCCGTATAATAAACAATGTTCTTCAACTTTATCCCTTCTTTCAATAAAATAAAAAAAGACATGTCTCAAAATTCCAAAATAGAGCTCGTGAAAAAATTTTGCAATTCATTATATGCGATTGATATTAGATGATATTTTTTTTAGAGCAAGAAACGAAGCCGAAAACGACGAAACATACAGATGCGTCTATTACATTGTCCGAAGTGAATGATGCAATTCTGCGTGTGCCGACATTCGTGCCAAATTTTACGAACGTTGAAAATTCGGAATGTCAGCAACATGGCAAGATATTCCTGCGACAATTGAGAGGTTACAAGTTGTGGGCGCTTCAAAGTGAGTCGATTGACCGAAATAACTGTCCATTTCTATTTTCATTCAGAAACTGAAATCATTGATTACCTCAACAAGAAAATGTCTCAATGCTAGAAATATTTCTAAGAAGGACATACGTGGACATTATTGAATTATTGAAGTTCTTTAATTGAATCTTCCTGATTTGTATCTACATATAGACAATGATCAGGATGTTTCTGATCTCGAAAAATTGCGTTAGTTTCATTGAACCAAAGATCTGTCTTGTTTCCAGTGTTAGATTCGAGCGCCAAGATTCCGTCGGGTTTGTTACGCGGAAATGTGAATCAGCTGGGGGATTACGATCAATGTTTGGGTGTGTTGGCGCATGTTAAAGTGGACGAGAAGACGATAAGAATTCAAGGGAAATATTGCCTGGCTACTGTGGATCTGCACGCTTCCCATTCAGACATGAGACTGCCGGTCAATCTAATGCAAGCCCGTGCTTTCATACGAGGAAATATGCACGACGTAAGAGAAGTTTTGATAAAATTATGTTAAATTAATAAGTGAAAACTTAAATATATTTGTGCGAAATAGACAAGAGTTAAAAAGAAAACAATAAAAATCTATTTAAAGAATTTATATTTTTTCGAAATTAGGAATCCATTTTAAAATAATTCTTTTGATATTTTTTTAAGTAGATTTTTACAGAAAGTAAAAATTTTACAGAAAGTAAAGTTAAGTAGATTTTTACAGAAAGTAAAAAAAGTCTCTTAAAATCATATGTTGAAATGCTAACCACACACGCTGTTTCAGCCAGGTCATTTCATTCCAAAATTCACTACATTTAATTGGGCGCTGTGTCTACCCGCGGCGTGTTCAGCCGAGGACGCTGAACGTGCGTTAGAGAGTACCTTAAAGGATTACAATGGAACTGTCGGAATTAAGTTTACGGTGGACGTCGATCCTAATATGTGTTACGTCAAACAAAAGTCTCAGACCTATTCGAAAGAAACGATCGGCGTCTTGTGCGTATCTCTTTATTTATACCACGAAGAAATGCAATTGATAAATCCATGTTGCTAATTTATTTTGTAGGTATTTTTACGCTATGATTGTTTGTCTCGTTATTGTAGCGACTGTGAGGGATTACTTCGTGGAGACGCGAGGGAAAGGTACGTATAAAGGGTCTATAAATTAATCTTTTATACGAAACTGAAATTAGGTTTGCCGGAATATTTCAATACAGCGGCGAGATTACGGCATAATGCACGCGTCTCTCCTCCGCAGGAAATTATTCTGAGAGGATAATCATGTCATTTTCCTTACGGAGGACGATTAAAGCCTTATTGAAGGAAGCGACGGACGCTGCGGATATTACGTGTATCTACGGAATAAGAGCGCTGGCTACGATCGTTCTTTACGTTGCCCACCAGCTTATAATAATTTCCCGAATGCCGTTTAGCAACCGCACTTCTCTTACGGAGGTAAGATCGTCGAACGGAATCCCCGGTTTTCCACGTTCAAAAAATGCGTCTCGATATTATGCGCTCCATTAATGAAATCTTTGCTCGAAACAGATCGCAAACAGTCCGGCCAGCTCTATTCTGCGAGTGTCGTTAGTTTACACGGACGCGTTTCTGCTGCTAAGCGGCGTTCTCACCGCTTACAACATGGCGAGGGAACTGAAGACTCGCGGCGAAATTCGCTGGTTTTGCCGTTTCGTCGCCAGATTTATCAGGTAAATTAGGCTCAACGAGACAGAAAGAATTCTCGCAATTGTGCAGCTCAAACGCAAGAAAAAAAAATTGCATTGATTCCGTCATTGGCATGCTCTTCAGACTTTCGCCGGCGTTGCTCGCGGTGATCTTCTGGTACGCGTTCGTGATGGAACACGTCGGCACGGGTCCGCAATGGAACAGCGTCGTCACGGCGAACGCGGAGCTCTGCAAGTGCAACGCGTGGACGAATCTGTTGTACGTGCAGAATTTTTTCCCGTTCGAGGAGATGGTGAGTGGACGGCGCAAGTGAATCGAAGAATATATTTATGGATCGTACCTATCGTGGATATCAATGGATCTTTTACAGTGCGCCACGCACACGTATCAGTTGGCCTTGGACATGCAACTATCGCTCTTGGCGCCTATAATAGTCTTCTTTTTGCAATACAAACTCATCATCGGTATCCTCCTGATGATCTTCTTCATCCTGTTATCTGCCACTCTTCGTTACATAGCGACGATGAACAATTATCTGTCTCTCGTCATCTATCACGGGATATCGTGAGTACAATACATTCGATATCTTACGCGCGAGCGAGTAACGTGAAATTTGACGGGTATGTACTTTTTGATTGCAGATTGAGACGCCTTTACAAGACTGCCAATTTAACTTACGCGTTGCCGCTGCACAGAGCGACGCCGTACATCTTCGGCGTCGGCCTCGGCGTGCTGTTGCATTACACCGGGAGGAACGTCAGGATTCACAGGGTACTCTCAGCCAGCGTAATCATTAATCGCGCGTGATCGTGGCAGCATTCTAATTTCAGGTGTTAGTGATCTTGGGTTGGTTGATCGCGTCGGCCTTGGGCTCATGGTCGTTATTTTCACCCTGGCGTCAGGCCAGGCGGGACTACGTGTACGACGCTGAAGAGGCCACTCACTATGCAGTAATCGGGCCGGTGCTGTGGGCCGCGGCTCTATGCTGGTCAATATTTGCCTGCTTCACGGGGCACGGAGGTCCGTTGTAGCGCTGCGGTAACAACAATCGGATAGGCGTGTAAATAGACAGGAACACTGACGCAATAATCACTCGCTCCGTAGGCGGTGTTAACAGATTCCTCTCCAGCTATTGGCTGGTGATCCTCAGCAGGATATCGTACGCCGTGTACCTAACGCAATTCGCAGTATTTTTCTACAACGTTGGGACCACGAGATTCTCCACGGAATTTCAACCTCATAGAGCAGTAAGTAGTGCAGCCGAAAAGAATGCCTTAAAGTCGCGCAGTATCTTGAAATCGCGTCTTAAAATATTTATTAAGCTTATATTTTCATCGCACATTTAGCGTTAAATGCATCTGTTCAATTATCGTCTATCATAATATATCACACTGTTAGTTTCCATATAAAATATCTCTTGAAAGAAAATTCTCTCTCTTAAAATGTCTAGAAAACGATTTAAAAAATAATTCAAACGCAAATCTCAAAATCAAACAGTCGCATTTAGGGATATTTGAGGTACGGCGAAATGCATACACAAGTATATTCTTATATGTTTGCAGATTGATCTTCTGGAAGTAGCGATAGTGATAGCCGCATCAGTTGTTTTGACATTACTCTTTGATCTTCCGATGCAGGAGGTGAAGAGTGTCATAATGGAAAGCACGGACATGACGGTCGAAGTTTCTGAGGAAAAAAAGACACGCGCGAGCGAAGCTAAAAGCGTCGAATCCGCCGAAACCGCAAAAATCGAGCAAGCGAACGTTTTCGAGGACGACGAAATCGCGTCCACCGGGTGGGACTGGCAGAAGGATATAGCTCACGGTGTAACTACTCTCGAGGGACACGACACGGAAGAGGAAATAGCAGACGTACCGACACTGAAGAAGATGAACGGAAGGCGGATGTCTTTCATCGAGTCCGTTCGTGATTCCGAAGAGGTGTCGAGCAAAGATCGGGCCAAGCCAGCGGCTAGAAAACCATCCAGAGACACGGAGAGTTATACGGATCGTAAGATAGGCATGAACAGCCAGAGATACGTCACGGATGACTCTGAGGAAGAAGCTATTGAATTTCTCAGAAGTCAGCGAGAGCACGACGAGGCTGCAGTGGCTCAGCGAAACAGACGTTCGTTATCCAGAACCAAAGATAACAAGAGACCATCGTCAAGGAACAGCGAAAGTGAGGAAGAATGGCAACGCAGAAAAAAGATTGAGGACGATTCGAGGCAGTTCAGGAAATCCGAATCCAGAGGAAGAACGTCGGCTAAGGAAGCGGACGATAACCGTTCCTGGGAGTTCGTCGGAAAGGAAGGTTCGTCCGCCAGAGAACAACACGAGTCGAAGCCACTCCTCGTGAGATCGGTGGATGTTGCGAGAAGAACGTTCTCTTCCGAGAGCGAGGAGGAGCCGTTGGCGCAAGAAAAAACGAAGCCGGTACGCGTTTCGAGTTCCGACGCAAGGACGAGCGACGAGGAGGAGTGGGAACACGAGTTGAGGATACGAAGGAAACAGTTTATGGAGAAACTGATTGTTCAGCAGGGTGAGTCATTGGTCGAGGGGGAGAGCGAGGGCAGCGCGGAATCATTGGCCCGTAGATCATCCGCAGAGGGCAGGATAGCCTTGCTGAGAGATATCTCGGGTGAGGATAACATGGACTCGTGGACCGTCAGCGTTGGGCCGCGGATCGCGCTCCTCGGGTCCTCTCAGGAGCCGAGTGAGCCCGAGGAGGACGGTATTTATATGCGACGTAGAGAATACCGGGAACAAGGTCCACCATCGAGAGAGGAGAGCCTGAGCGAGGAGGAGAGCAGCCAGGACACTTCGAGAAGACAATCCTACACCAGCGGTAGTCAGAAAACGTCGCTGGAGGAGGAGGACGATGTTAACAACTATAACTTTATGCTAACCAAGGAAAGTAAGAGAGAATCCCTGCAAGATCTGTCGCAATTGTCGCAGGAGGATTTGGCGAGTGCCGGATGGAACGTCGTGAAGAAAGAAGGCGATCTCTCGGTCAAACCGACGTCGACTGGTTTATTCAAACGAGAGTCCATTGTTAAGAGCCAGGCGAGCGAGGAAGATCCCGAGTACCTTCTGCCGGAAAGGCCGAAGCTGGTCCAGCAGGAGCGGGAGCATCCCTTCAAGAAGGCCTGGCAGATGCAGAAGTCTAGATCGGAGGAGGAGGGCTCCTCAGCGTACACCATAAAAGATTCCAAGGAGCAGCAATCCGAGGCTAAGACGAAGGAGCCGCCGATCAAACGCGAGAGCAGCGGCGAGCAGTCCGAGGATATCGAATCGTTCGCCGACGACGAATCGGTCGAACCCACCGTGGTACTGCGTGGTAGAAGCACCGACACGGAGGACACGAGGACCAGCTCGACGAGATCCGGCACAGACGAGACGGACTCGATCTCGACGGAGTGCAGTAGAGCCACGCACGAGCGAGACCACAGGCAGAGCTCGAAATCTGAGACCGACGAAGATTCCGCGAAATTTAATTGGTCCGGCGAGGAGAAGGAGGAGGCGACGGAAGACGAGATCTACGAAGCTGGCCGGAGAGGGAAATCGGAGGAAGCGGACTGGGACTGGGAGCGAGAGGAAACTTGACGAAAATGACTTTAGACGATTGTATAGAGTGACTATATCTTACCTTCAAATTCGGTTGAAGGCAAAGACGAGGGGGAACGATGGACTGAATTCGTAGCGCTCGGGGGTTGTGTGATTTGCAAGAAGAGAGCTGGCGAAGATGCGAAGGAATGATCGAAATTTATATTAATCGTTATACTATATAAGTTAATAAATTATGAAGAAAATATTCTATATTTATTCTATGTCAATTAAATACTCTAGTTTTCTTTTTGTACAATTCGTAAAAATTTAAGAAGTCTTGATTAGTATATCACGTAATTTCAATTGAAATAAACCGAGTACTGACGACGGTATCGACTTCGCTTGCTTTCATTGCCATTTACGGACCGCTCGGAAGTCCGAGAACGCGTACTCGCAATTAATTTGATTTAGATGTAAGGCCTCGTGGACCTTTTATGCTTTTCGCACGGAGCGCGAAGGGACGCATTAGCGGGTTAAAGAGGAGAAACGGCCTCGGCTGATATACTTTACGAGACAAAATCTCGTAAAGAGCTCGTGCGCGAGCGCATAATGTTCACCGCTCGCTCGGGCTGGGGTAGGCGATCCTCGGCCGGACGCGTTATCCATGTGAGGTGATCTACGCTCGCGTTTATGGCGCCACGGGGATTACTTCCGTTCACCATACCTACGGATCTGCGGGTGGCGGACGCCGTTCACGGCGGCGGCGGCGGCAGCGGTTTTCATTGCTTTCGCCCGACCGCGCCGTGCCGCCGCGGCAGCGGCGCGGCAGCGTCGGCGGTTTGCCTCGTTTATGCCTGTCACACAGGACACGAAGGTAAACGAAGGCTTTATACCCTCTCGCGTAAACATATTCCCCTGTAGCCCCGTACCACGCATAAACTGACGAAAAGATCGGAGCCGCGTTGCGCCGATCATATTTCATGCTTACGATCCGACCGCTTTATTTATGTCGCGGCTACATTGAGACTAATTACCGGTTTCCCTACCGGCCGACACACGTCGCGCCGCGCATGTGCGACACGCTTGGCCGTGACATCTCGCGCGGACGATTACTTAGCCCTTTGTTCATCGCGTTATTAAAGTGTCGGTGCTGCTTTCGTGACATATCCTGATTCGTGAATGTCCATGAACGTTGTCAATCGTAATAAACAGATTATCTAATCACATTTTCACGTCTCATTAACGTTATGAAATAAATTTGAGTATTCAAATGTTTTTGTTCAAAATTTTTTAAATACTTTTCGAATTATTTGACATCGATTTGTTTTTTTTTTTTGTTAGATAAAATATAGAATCTAAATATAATTGTCTGGCATTGTCGTAATTTTATCGCGTGGAAAACTGCAATGATAAGTTATTGACTTGTATTTAAAAATATTTCACGGCACAGAATGAGGTCCGGCGTTATTACGCGTCGGAATCCTCACGTTAAATATACATATATATATGTACGAATATCCGGAGACTTCGACGAGTGCTTCTGGTTTCCGCGCTTTCTCGGGTATGAAGCCGCAAAATTGCATAGTCAACGTGATCCCGGACGTCCGAGGAATCCGAAACGGTTGAAGCGCGAACGGTACGACCTGCCACGGATCACTTCGTACCAATTTGGACTACGATGCCCTGCGAGATCGTGGCCGTGAGCGAAAGCCTTGGAACGGGACCCTTGAAATTCTAGGCTTCAAGATCTCGGGATCAGCATGGATCTTCATAAGCCAGGAATTCGATAGCGGTTCCGAATCGCGGGCTGTTCAGCATCCTTGACGTCTCCGTCGGACGCGGATCTTTGCCGCAGAGACGCTAGAGGCGGATTTTTCTAAGTAAGCCCTCTCCCAAATTACGATCCTCTTACGAGCTTAACTGTATGTCTTTACTTCGAAATTTTGAAATTATAATATAAAACAATCAGAAATACAGAATAATAAAAGAATTCTATAAAAAGATTTAAAAAGTACCAAAATTAGATACTAACCAATCGCACGTCATAAATCGCATTATAATTTTTAGCCGCTTTTAGATATGAAAATTATATATATTTTTCCCCACACTTCCTAATAAAATTTTTGTAATGAATCCAGAAAATATAATGACTCTTTCTAATTATACCTTCATAATTAATGACTGAGTAATATGATGATGATTGTTTTGAAACAATTGTTGTGAAACAAAATTTTGTAAACAGTCTATTCTGGACAGTGACGGGGGCAAAATCGAAGCTTCTCGGAACTTCCCGTCGCGCTCTCGATTCGCAATACTACTGATCCACGCGCCGATATCGCAACTCGGCGCTGATGAAGGCGGCGGTGACAAAGAAGCGACGTGGAAGTTGAAGAGGTAACAGAAGAGGGAATACAATAGAAAATATTCGCCCGCCTAGCTGTTATTGCCTCGCACGTACCGCGCGACGTACGTGTCGGTACGTTCTTATTTACTTTATCGGGAGAAGAGGCGAGTCGCGCGGGTGGCGGCGCGGCGCCTCCGGTGTGTTACGATTTCCACGTTCTTTCTCCCCCGGCCGTTCCCCAGGCTCCAACCCTTTCTCCCTGCCCCCCACCATCCTCCCACGCCGGCCGAAGCGCGGTCCTTACTTCGTCTCTTCGGAAATGCGCGCGCCGGACGTGATCTCTCCGCGCACATCGTCTCGTTAGTATGGCTGCTTATCCGCTTTTCCCGTTCCCCGGGAGCGCAACGTGAATGCCGCGCGTTTCTCCTCTATTGTCGTTGATTTCGGCCCGGTCCACGTGCGGCGTGTGCACACGCGTTGCACAGCGACGGGCGACGCGTGTCCACACGAGCGCACACATCCCGTACACACGCCGACGACGGAGTCCGCGCGCAACCCTCTATCCTGCGAGACGTGCTCCGACTGTCGAGGGCTCTCTCTCTCTCTCTCTTTCTCTCTCGATTTTCAAGACCCGATTCCGCTTTTCCCCGATGTGCACCATCCGGGATGCCGTTGCGTAAACGCCGCCTCCCGCGAGAGGTATGCATCTCTCTCTTGCGGTGCCAAACGGCCGAAGAACACCTCGCCAACGTAAATACCGCGAAATCAAAGCACAACTCTCAGTATTCCCATTGCTGGCATTGCTGCAGTCGTTATACACCCTCTCTTTTCGTGGCAAGTTTGCAATTCCTCCAAGACCGCGTTATCGCAAATTAAAATTTTTACTGTTATGTGACAAATATGTATTGAATAATCAAAGTATATAATAAAATAGATGTAAAGCAAGTATACACGATTCATATCTTTATAGAAAATAGGAGTGGAAAGGCGATTCTTTATTCACTCATATTTGAAAGACGAATGAATCAATGACGATGTCTAAGTTACGTTCCGCTATGCACATTCTAATGTGATTTGCGCGATTGCGGGCAGTTATTTTTCTTCTTTTTTTTTTCTTTGCCAATTAAATGTGGTTAGCGCAGTATCGTAAACAGATTCGTGCGGCGTGACGCTTGCGCGAGGGAGAGAGCGAAATCCCGAATAACAAGAACTCTCGAGTGACGCTCGAAGGCGAGGAGAAACGTCTAACGCCACGGAGACATTTGCATACTTGGGTATTCATGCAGGGGAAGCTTTCGTCGGCACATTACAGGATCCGGGATTGTTGCACGTGAATACGCGACACTGTCTGGGGAAGCGGCTGCGAGAACAGCAAAGAGCCGGCGGGAGGAGACATTGTTAATGCGAGTAGGTGCGCACACCGGTACCCGGGGTATTTGCGACTCGCGATCGCGGGGGTATTTGATGTAAGTAAATTGTGAGATATGCGCCTTGCGCGACGCAATCGGAGCGTCGTTTAATAATGTCTCGCGGAGCCGTGGCGCCGCTTACGCGCGCTGAATATATTTTTCGACGCCCCCGAGCGACTTCAAGAATTGACGTCGTCTTTAATTGTCGCCTGTGACAATTCGCTGTTTGCTCGATCCCTTTAATCCCTGGCACCTACCTAATAACCCTTTCTCGAGACTCGCGAAAAGTCACTCTCGAACTGCACGACGTATCGCTATAGCCGATTCATCGTGTCGTATTCGACGAGATGAGACCCCTTTTCCTTCTTTCCGCGCCGCGACGATAGAAAAGTTGCGCCAGTCTCTCTACGGGATCCTCGACGTCGTCGTCGTCTTCGTGCCACCGAGCCGAATAATTGCTTCGATTATTTACAAGATTTCCTTGTGGCAGATTAAAGTGATACCGCGCTCCCCGCTTTTTCCGCGCCGCGATACTTCCCCTCCCTCTTGAGAAATCCTCCCGCTTTTCCTTTTTCACGCGCGAACCCGTACCCTTCCCTTCATTGCGCGCCTTCCTATAGAGCCTAATCCGATCACGATGAAACGAGGTGTCCGTTCGAGTGTAATTCCGCGATAATGGATATTGCTATTCAGAGTATCTCTCGCATTAAATGACAAGTCTCATCGCGATTTTGCCGGCGGTAAGAAGGATCTCTCCCGATATGACGCGCGGTCATGCTGCGCGCGGAAAAAGGATTTAGCCAATTTCGCTTTTAATTTAAAATTGAACTGGCTCGCGGCGCGAGAGCCTGTCTTGATCTGTCCCAAGAAAAACTATACAGATAGAGCAAATTTGAATGAATATATATATGCAACGTGACGCGTGAAAAGCGGGCAATGGACAGGAAGATTTTATGAAAATATGCGCGACGTATACGCGAGTATTTTAACGGAACAATTGTTCTCGATTAAACTTCATCGCGGGGGGGGGGGGTCACCATTCTACTCACCGCGAAACGTTGTAATTGTACGGCCCGACGGTATAATGTCCCAGGAAAAAGTACTCGTTTAATTTATTTACGTTTATCCTTATTACGTCTCTCCTGAGCTCCAATTCCAATTGCCTTCCTATTCCATAATCAATAAGGATAAGGAAGCTCCTCGCTCGAATCGGCAATAAATCGGATCCGTGTGTAATTTCACAGGCTCTACGCCGGCGCGGGCCCAATGAGAGGCGGCTTGATATTGAATTATGAATGCGTCAAGCGCGTGATGGGGAGGCGACGTGATGAGCCGGCGATGTCAATGGAACAAGCGAAGAAGGGAGAGCGGGGAGGGCGGGGGGATAGTGGAACGGGCTCGCGCGCTCGCACAGAGCGTGCCGCAACCGATACCGCATCGTAGGTATTATAAGTTCAGTCGAATCCTTCGTGGGAATGAGCGGCTTGTGCGCCCACGAGACTCACCTTTGCATTACT